TCAGCCACAGCAGGACTTCTTCTTGGCAGGGTGGCTCACCTGGACGGTGTCCTCCTTCACCGAGTCTTCCTGCTCTTTGAGGATCCTGGAGAGGTGGGGGCAGAGAGAGGGTCAGTCCTGGAGAAGCCGTGGGCTTCCCCAGAAGTGGCCACATGGAAGGTCGGCCCCCGGCCACACACAGAAACCGTCTGTATGCTGAGGAGAGAACCCCACTTTACAGAAGGAAGCAGCTCCGGGCACCTTCGTGGAACAAAGCTACGTGGCTCTTGACTTGTACTGCCAAGAGGGATGCTTTGCAACACCTCCTCCAGGATGCCCCAAGCCCGTGGGTGATAGAAATGCCTCTGGCAGCACTTTGCCCCTTCCTGGGTTGTAGTGTGTTACCCGCTGCCATAAGGCACAGCTTCTTCCAGGCAGAGACCGCCCCCTTCACCTCCGTCTCTACAGCCTATGCAGTGCCTGGTACATCGCAAGGCAATGTCCCTCCATCTCCTTCCACCTGCGGCCCCTTCCTCACCTTTTTCCTTCCTGTGTGCCACCCTCATCCTACTGGCTGGCACCCTAATCTACTGCTGAAGCTCCCCTCGCCCATTGATGCTATTTTTATGTATGGCCCCATTGGAATATCCCACAGGGAGCCATAGGGCATCTGATTCGTAGAGGTTGAGCGATGTCTTTATTGGTGATTCATTCTATAGAAGGCCTGTCTCATGGAATCATACTTCCAGATTAAATCTTGGCAGTAAAGCTTTTTTTTTTTTTAAGTTAGTGTCTTATCAAACTGTCTTCTACTTTCAAAGTGGATGGTTGGGTCAGAGAGTAGGTAGTTGGAGGGATGGAGGGATGGATGGATGGATGGATGGATGGATGGATGGATGGATGGGTGAGTAGAGGTATGGATGAGTAGATGGATGAGTAGATGGTAGACGGACATAAATGAGCAGGTGAATGAATAGGGGGTAAACGAGTTGATGGATGGGAGGTAGGGGAGTGGGTGGATAGACAGATGGGTGGCAGGTGGAGGAGTGGGTGGATGGACGGATGGCTGGTAAGGTGATGAGTGGGTGGATGGATGGATAGTAGGTAAATGATTAATGGATAGGTGGATGGGTAGGTTGATGAGTGAGGGATGGATGGCAGGTACTCAGATGACTCGATGGGTGAATGGTGGATAGGCAGGCTGCTGGATGGGCAGGTAGATGGCAGGTGGCATATGGACAGGTGAACGAATGGCTAAAAATGAGCAGATGGTGGATAGCAAGGTGGGTGGAAGGATGGGTGGGTGGTTGGGGGGATGAATGGAATAAAACACATGCCTAGTTGGAACGAACAAGTGACAATCGAGTCTTGTTGGGTTCATCTTCTTAACTTTGGAATAGGCAGAGGCTTAGAGGCCAGTCTGTCCAGGGACCAGTTCCTTAGTGATGCATCATCCCTCAGACCCCACCAGAGCTCCTCTCCTAGGAACCCAGAGACTAATGGTACCCAGCTAACCTCCGCAGAGCCAGCGGAGAAGGGCAGGGCTGAAGACCGGACCCTTCTTGGCAGCATTTGCATTTAAAAAGCTGGAGCACCTGGGGCTGGAGCAATGGCATAGCGAGTAGGGCATTTGCCTTGCACGCGGCTGACCTGGGTTCGATTCCCAGCATCCCATATGGTCCCCCGAGCACTCCCAGGGGTGGTTCCTGAGTGAGGAACCAGGAGTGGCCCCTGTGCATTGCCGGGTGTGACCCGAAAAAACAAAACAAAAAAAAGCTGAAGCCCAGCTGCCTGGGGACTCTGAAGGCTGTGGGAGGTGGGGAGGTGATGGGTAGAGGTTGTCACTGCACTCAGAGTCCTGGTGTCCCACAGAGACCCGGCCCCACCCTGCAGAGACCCTGAGGCAGAGGAGATAAGGGCTCAGGGGAGGGTCTTGGAAGTGGAGGGAGCGCCCTCACACCCCCACCCCCGCCCCGGCCCAGCTGGCCCTCAGTCACCTGGTCACCCACCGGCTGTTTCCTGTCCCTTACCTGGCTAGATGCAGCAGAGACTCTTTAGTGTTGTGGCCCGAATAGGCACTGCATTCATAGAAGATGAGGTTGTTCTCCTGAAAGCAGACAGCAGAGAGGGAATCCAGAGAGAGCACTGTGGGGGGGTAGCGGGGAGGAGAGGGAGAAGGGAGGCATCCTGTGGCCCGCTAAACCGTCCCCCAGCACACACATATGCTTGAGCTGGTCCTTCTCCTCAGTTTCTTGAGGCGCATCAGTTCTGCAACCAGTTCCCGGACACACAGCAACCACCTTTGGACAACGGAGCCCTTAGCTCTGTGAGGTGCCTGAGGCTTTGTCCAAGTGCTCCTGGGACCACAGGGGCTCATCCGGGTGACCCCAGACCCATGCTGGGGGGCAGCCCGGTTCTTTCCCAGGCAGGGACATGGGGCGCAGGAGGCTGTGTTGAAGCCACGTGGGGTGTGTGGATGAGCCCACAGAATAACACGGGTCACAGACAGCCCTGTGCCTACAGCCGAGGGGCGGAGGGCCACGAGGCCACCGTGCGAGGAGTCTCCAGACCCAAATGCTCAGGGCGCTGCTGTGTCCCTTGACTGGGCAGAAGGCAGTGCTGGGGGCATGCACAGAAACGTACTGTCCAAGGTTCACCCCAGTCTGGTTCAGACTCCCAAGGAACAGGGGTGCGGGTGTGGGGGTGCTGCTTCCTTAGGCCAGTGCAAATAGGTCAGGCCCGGGAATGGTGCCCTGCAGGGGGGCATGAGGTGAGGGAGGAGACTTCTGCAGTTGCAGATCTGGAAAGTTCTGCCAAGCTGCTATTCTGACCCCATTCTGCCACGCACAGCTTCCTCGCTGCCCTCCCTCCCCCAAGGCTCAGGCCTGACTCTGGTCTGTCTGTCTGCGGGGGGGTGGGGGGTGAGGGAATGAGGGCACCAAGCTGGGGAGGAAGCTCAGAGGTGGAGCATGTGTGATGCCCTGGGTTCGATCCGTGGCATCCCCCGAAACCAAACAACAAAGCAGGGAGAAGCTTTCATGGAGAAGAGTGACACCCGATTTGTTTTCCTCACTCAGGAATTGTGTGATCATTGGAACAAGTCACGAGAGAGAGAGAGAGAGAGAGAGAGAGAGAGAGACAGAGAGAGAGAGACAGAGACAGAGAGAGAGAGACACAGAGACACAGAGACACAGAGAGAGAGACAGAGAGAGAGATGCAATGGGCCCGACTTAGGATCTTGGGTCCAGCTAGGTTTTGGAATCTGGAGCCTCTAAGTTTGGGGTAAAGACCCTCTAAATGCACCAAGTAAAGGGTGCTAGGAGGGCCCGCTCAGGATGGGAGATGCAGGCTGAAAGTCGACTATAGACCAAATGGCCACTTAATAACTCTTGCAAAAACAATACCCAAAAGGAGAGAGAGAGCAAAAAGGACTGCCCTGTCACAGAAGTGGCGTAGGGTGGAGGGGACAGGGTAGGGGGGTGGGAGGGATGCCGGGACCATTGGTGGTGGAAAATGGACACTGGTGGAGGGATGGGTACTCGATCATTGTATGACTGAAACCCAAGCACAAAAGTTTGTAAGTCTGTAATTGTACCTCATGGTGATTCACTAATAAAAATTTAAAGAAAAGGTCTCTAAAATGCCCAGCATGGGTCGGGGGTAGATCCTACACTCAAGCACATTTTGCTGAAATATTCACAGCAAATATTCCAGCACTTCTACTAAAATACATTTTTGTCTTCCCCCTGAACCCTACCCTCTGTGCCCACTTTCCCAGTCTCTGACGCCAGGAGTTCCTGTCGCGAGAAAGCCCAATAGGCTGGGGAAGGCACCCCCCCCCCGATTTCCCCAGTCCTTCAGCTCCCCAAACACCCTTCATGGCCAGATAAGCTGTGGGTTTGGCCTTCAACAAGCTTAGCTGGTTCCTGTTTGGGCACAAAGGCACGTGCCTATCTTAATGGTGTGCCTTGACTTCATCTTGAGTTTCCAGACTCGAGGGTGCATTGTAACTGCAAGAACGGGCTCTGGAACAGAATTATCCAAAGGGGAGCATGTTTCTCTGCTCTGAGAGCAGGCGCCATCCCTGACGGTGACGCAGACGCCAGAAGGAACCTCTTACTCCCGAAGAATGTACATACAACTCCCGGCCCAAGAGCTAGGATGGTGGGTAAGGTACGTGCCCTGCATGCAGCCAACCCAGGTTCAATCCCTGAGCACTGCCAGGAGAAGTGAGCCCTAAGCAGAGAGCCGGGAGTGAGGTCTGAGCATGGCAGGGTGTGCCTGCCCCTAAAACATCAAGAAACATAAAAGAAGGCGTGATTCTGAGTCCCAGGGAGGAGGGTTTGGGGGAACGTCCCCAGTCAACCCTGGTCACCCCTGTCTTGCAATCCAGGTCTTTCTATGGTGACATCCCACTGTACAGGAGCCTTCCCATGAAGGGGTCAGGGCACCCCTCTTGCCCCTCTCTGGACGCTTCCTGGACACTTGCCCAGCTGCCCACGGCTTATGCCCTGGAGGAGAAACGTATGTGCTTGATGGTTACCTTGGCCAGCTGCTCACCCAGGCCGCGGGGGACTTCTCGCTCTTTCTCTATGTCAATTTTGTTGGCCAGCAGAAGAATGGGAAGGTGATCGCCCACGGCTTCCTGGAGAAGACAGTGCATGACACCTGAGAGAAGGTTCTAGAAGGAGACTCCGAAGGGTATGGGTTTAATGCAATGAGAGATGCAATCTGGCCCCAGCACCCTTGGCGGTCACTCAAGCGTGGCAACATGACCACTTTCCTCTAACTCCATAAAATGAGCCAGACTTTTTTATTTTTATTATTTAATTATTCAGGGACTAGTCCTGCCAAGCCCACAGCCCTGCCTACCGTGAGGGCCTCCTGTGCCCCGTCTGTGTGCCCGGGGCTCTGTCCCCCCAGCACCCTCAAACCCAGGTGCAGTACGTGGGACATGCAACGGACATGCCCATCCTTTCCTAGGACGTTGCTCAAAGGACAGATAGGGAGTTGGGGTGACAGCACAGAGGAAAGGGACTTGCCTAGCCTGTGACCAACTCAGGCTCGATCCCCAGCACCCCACATGGTCCCCAGGAGTGATTCCTGAGCACAGAGCCAGGAGTAAGCCCTGAGCATCGCTGGGTGTGACCCCAAAAGAAAATCAATGTTTTTATTTCTGAAAATATTATAGAATCTGGAACCCTCTGCAGCACATGACAGCCGGCCCCACCACGTGTCTGCTGGGAGAGGCCTGTCCTTCTGCCTGGGGACAGGCCCCCTGCTCTGTGCTGGGGACTGCAGCAGCCCTGTTCCCTCCTGCAGGGGTCTGCCACCCTCCCCGCTGAGGGGCTGCGCCCCCGGGTACCCCCTGCTGGTGAGATGGGCGCACTGCATGTGGGCACTTTTGGAGGGAGTCGAACGGCTGGGGAGCCCGGGTCTTGCTCACAGTATGCAATGTCTCATTGAGGGCCTTGCACGGTCATTCGGCAGTTGAGTCACGAAAAGTCATATAGTCACTGGCAAAAGGGCAGCAGATAGGCTGGTCCACAGAAACTCCTGCTGGGTCTGGGTCCAGCTTACCCAACTGAGGCAGCTAGACTGCCCACCTACCCCTGTGTTTCTAATTATTATTATTATTATTATTATTCACTGTCCTCCCATTGTTCATTGATTCGCTCGAGCGGGCCCAGTAACGTCTCCATTGGAGACTTTGTTGTTACTGTGTTTGGCATATCGAATACATCATGGGTAGCTTGCCAAGTTCTGCCGTGCGGGCGAGATACTCTCGGTTGCTTGCCAGTCTCTCCGAGAGGGGCGGAGGAATCGAACTTGGGTCGGCCATGTTGGCTGCGTGCAAGGCCAATGCCCTACCGCTGTGCTATCGCTTCAGCGATATTTTTATTATTATTATTATTCGATATGCCAGACACAGTAACAACAAAGTCTCCAATGGAGACGTTACTGGGCCCGCTCGAGCAAATCGACGATCAACGGGAGGGCCTTTACCTTTATTATTATTATTGGCTTTGGGGCCACATCTGGCAGTGCGTAGGGCTTACTCCTGGCTCTGTGCTCAGGAATCACTCTTAACAGGGCTTGGGGGACCATATGGGTTGCTGGGAATCGAACCCGGATTGGCTGTGTACAAGGCAAGCATTCTATCTGCTGTGCTATCTCTCCAGCCCCAGTTTTCCTCTAACTCCATAAAATGAGCCAGACTTTTTTATTTTTTAAGAAAGGCCAGGCACGGTTGGTGGGAACCCAGCGGTGAGCACTAGAACAGGATACTGTAAGCCCAGGCCCGGCCAGCATAAATCGTGTTTCTTATCTAAGGCAGATACCAAGGTTCTGTACTTTTCTCACTCTTGGGTCCCCTTGGAAGTCTTCTTCACTTGTATGTAGGGAAGTAAGAGTGCATAATAGAGGCTGGAGCGATAACACAGAGGATAGGGTGTTTGCCTTGCATGCGGCTGACCTGGGTTCGATTCCCAGCATCCCATATGGTCCCCCAGGCTAGGAATTGAAAGAGCTATGCTTGGAGTATCACGTTTCACTCAAATGAGAGAAAGAATCCGGAGTTCCGACATCTGTCGATGATCAAGAATCAGGGACGCTGTCTCATTTGCCAAGGCATCAATAATCAGATGGGCTGGTCACATAATGAGGTTTACAGACGACCGCTGGACTAGAGCCGTTACCGACTGGATTCCACGGGACGTCAAAAGACCGCATGGCCGCCCACCTACCAGATGGTCAGACTTCTTCGTTAAGATCATGAACGATCCGTTTGAGGCTCTTCATGTTCCCAGAGCGAACAGACGCCATTGGGCTACACTAGCACGCGACAGGGACATATGGAGACGTTACTGGTGCCCGCTCGAGCAAATTGCCGATTAACGGGAAGTCAAGTGATCAAGTGATCAAGTGATCCCTCCAGTCTCAGAGTGAAGCAGTTTTTCTCTTCTGGGTCTGCTGGTGTAAAATAAATCTTGCTGCCACTTCCAGCTCTCATGAGTGCCACCTGACCTTCTCCGGTGGAGCTGGGACACTTCCTGGCAGAAGCTTTGCACTTTGCTAGGTAGAGAGGGTTGGGTGCATGAGGGCAGGGTGCAAAGCTGATGCTGGATTTACCACGGTTTGGGTGCCCAGAGTTGGGCTGACTTGATACAACTTTAAATCCCCAGTTTAGAAGCAACGACGTTGGAAATGGAGCCAAAATGTGGGGTCCTTAGTCTAGACATTCTTTGTGTATTTTCTTTTTCTTTTTGGGTCACACTAGGTGATGCTCAGGGTTAACTCCTGGCTCTGCACTCAGGAATTACACCTGGTGGTGCTCGGGGGATCCTATGGGATGCTGGGGATTGAACCTGGGTTAGCTACGTGCAAAGCAAATGCCCTCCAGCCCAAACTTTTTTTTCTTTTTGGTGTGTGTGGGGAGGTCACACACAGTGTGCTCTGGGATTACTTCTGACTGCTCAGAGATCATTCCTAGCATGGCTCAGTGGGCCCTGTGGGGTGTTGGGGATCAAACCTGGGCTGGCTGTATGCAAGGAAAAGTGCTTTCACCCCTGTACTAGCTCTCCAGCTTACACACCTGTTCTCTTTGTTTGCCTGTCTTGGGGCTACACCCGGTGATGTTCAGGGCTTACTCCTGGGTAAGCATTCAGGGATCACTCCTGCTGGTGTCCAGGGACCGAACCTGGGTCTACTGCATGTAAAACAAGAACCCTCCCTGTTGTCCTATTGCTCTGACCCCTAGACATTCGTTCTTAACAGCAGCTCAGGAGAAAAAAAGAATAATTTTCATTTACCAAAGAAGCAACTTAAAGCCCAGAGGATATAGAAGATCCTTCAACAACAATAACTGTCACTGTCACTGTCCTCCCGTTGTTCATCGATTTGCTCGAGCGGGCCCAGTAACGTCTCCAACGTCAGACTTTTTGTTACTGTGTTTGGCATATCGAATACATCACGGGGAGCTTGCCAGGCTCTGCCATGTGGGCGAGATACTCTCGGTAGCTTGCCGGGCTCTCCAAGAGGGGCGGAGGAATCGAACTCAGCTCGGCCATGTTCACTGCATACAAGGCAACCGCCCTACCTGCTGTGCTATCACTCCAGCCCAACAGCGAGTAGGGCGTTTGCCTTGCACGTGGCCAACCTGGGTTCGATTCCCAGCATCCCCTGAGCACGGCCAGGAGTAATTCCTGAGTGCAAAGACCCTGTTATTGCCAGCGTCACCCAAAAAGCGGGGGGAAAAAACAATAACAACAACAAAAAAAAAAACAAAAAAAGAGGGCAACGAGGAAAGGTCCCTCAAGTCCCCAAACCTTTCCTCACAGTTCTAAGTTTCAACAGTGATACAGGGCAGCCCAGGAGCTAGAATTCTCTCCATGCAGGACTTCAGGCTATCAAAGCGATAGCCCATTGGCGAGGGGGGATGCTTGCCTTGCACGTGGCTCACCTGGGTTCCATCTGGTCCCCGGCATCCCATCTGGTGCCCCGGAACACCACCAGCATGAGGCCAGCGGTGTCTGTGGCATACCCAGCCCTGCTCGGAACAGCACGGAGGGGCGCGGTGCCCCCTGCCATGAACATGCAACCCCCCAATTCCTCATCCGCAATCGGAACACCCCAGGAGGCCGACGCCCAATTTGGGGAATCCCCCTCCACCAGGCGGTCAGCCCAGAGGAGGCCCCACTCACACCCCCACCCCCAATCCCCACGCTGCCAAAGCAGAAGGGAAGAGGCAGCCGCGATGGCCAGAAGGCTGGTGTCTGGAGCCCGCATGGGAGATATTTGGAGACTCATGTGTGAGGATGACTAAGGCCCGTGGGATTTCTCGTCAAGGAGACGCTTGGAAAATGTGAGCATCAGACTCGAGATCTCCAGGCAGAATTCTAACCCAGGTTCTTGGAATGATTGGAAATGGGGGTGCCAGGTGCCCAAGGACGGGAGCGGGGGCCAGCCACAGGCTCGGTAGCCAGGCTCTGCCCACTGAGGACAGCGGTGAGGCCTGTGGGGCCAAGAAGGGGCTGTCGTAGGGCAGGGGGCAAGGACATGGTGTAGAGGCCGGGCTGCCTTGCACTGTGTGTGAGGTCCTGGGTTCAGTCCCCGGCACAGAGGAAGAGAGAAAGGAAGAAAGGGAGGACAAGGAAGGAAGGGAGGGGAGAAAAGGGGAGGGAGAGAAAGAGGGAGGGAGGGAGGGAGGGAGGGAGGGAGGGAGGGAGGGAGGAAGGAACAAAGGGAAGGAAGCAGGGAAGGGAGGAAGGAAGGAAGGAAGGAAGGAAGGAAGGAAGGAAGGAAGGAAGGAGGGAAGGAGGGAAGGAGGGAAGGAGGCAGGAAGGAAGGAAGGAAGGAAGGAAGGAAGGAAGGAAGGAAGGAAGGAAGGAGGGAAGCAGGGAAGGAGGAAGGAAGAAAGGAAGGAAGGAAGGAAGGAAGGAAGGAAGGAAGGAGGGAGGGAGGGAGGGAGGGAGGGAGGAAGGGAGGAAGGAAGGAAGGAAGGAAGGAAGGAAGGAAGGAAGAAGGAGGGAAAGAGGGAAGGAGGAAGGAAGGAAGGAAGAAAGGAAGGAAGGAGGGAAGGAGGGAAGGAGGGAAGGAGGAAGGAAGGAAGGAAGGAGGGAAAGAGGGAAGGAGGGAAGGAAGAAG